CTATTTGTTAGTATTTAGTTTGATTTTTTTCATGCTTTTCCTGCGTTTGCTCTATTGTATGACAAAATCCTAAACAATAACGATAGTAACTGGAGAAGGATCTGTCGTACGACTTCCATATATGATTGTGCATGCCCACGGCGCTACTTCGCACCCAGTGGTGCATAAGCCCTTTGCCAACGGCCATTTCCATTTCTCTCAGTTCGCTGCTACTGCTCTTGCTTCCTCTCATGTACCAAATTCCAATTCCTTCATTTCTTTTCTGGATTATTCGTCGCCAAGTTGCTATTGCTCTCTACCCTTTGCGTCTTCTCCCCTGCATATGGACATATATATGTTGTTTACCGGCTGTGAGGTCCATATAGGAAAACACTGCCCGAGGTCTTTACAATGTTTTTCCTTCAAGATATAAATGAATGTTTCGTGGTTGATTCTTGCCATCCTGACTCCTTTTGCACAAATACAATTGGATCGTACATCTGTCAGTGCAATCCTGGTTACAATGGTGATGGACAATCATGCTCAGGTATTTCACACTTAGTTATCCATCATTTCACTTGGTTCATTTACTGACAAATCCTTAATCTGCTTATAGATGTTGATGAATGTACTTCAGCTGTTCATTCTTGTGATGCCAACGCGCAGTGTACAAATAATGTTGGGTCCTATGCCTGCAGTTGTCACCTTGGCTTTAGTGGTAATGGGAGGAATTGTTCAGGTATATATAAACGACTGGTCCCCATTTTCAAGTGTAAAGATTGTATAATAAATTGAATGATATTACATTTTTTTCAGATATCGACGAATGTTCGTCTGGTTCACATACCTGCAATGCCTACGCACAATGCGCTAATACAGTTGGAACCTACACTTGCCAGTGTAACCCGGGCTATCATGGAGATGGATGGGCTTGTACAGGTATGACCAGTAAAACATGATCTGCTCATGATGTTTTTTTATGGTCAAAGTCAACTTCGTCGGATGAAAATTAAAGACAGGCCTTCTAACTTTTTTACGTTTTAATTATTGCTTAACTAGTTTAACAATGTTTACTTTTTCACTAGATGTCGACGAGTGCACTAGAGGTTCCCATTCTTGTGATGCTAACGCACAATGTACGAATAACGTTGGTTCCCACACTTGCCAGTGTAACCATGGTTTCCTTGGCAATGGATGGACGTGCTCAGGTATTTACTGAATATATTAGCCGCGATTTTCATAACTTACTGACTTTGAGTTTGTTTTATAGATGTGGATGAATGCTCGACAGGTGCCCATACCTGTAATGTCAATGCACAATGTACTAACACAGTTGGGTCATATAGCTGTCAATGTAAACTTGGTTTTCATGGCAACGGACACACGTGTACAGGTATAAACATTCTGCCTCCTTAATTAGTGATACCAACAAGTACGTTTTGATATCTATTGTTGCTCTATTAAAAAAATTGCGCACGGTTTTGAGGTATATGTCCTCTTATTGACACACTCTTGACGTCATAAAATATTCAAAACTCAACTGCAAAATTGACTTGGTGTCAGCACAGTGTGCATGTCCTCTTATTGACTCACTGTAGTCAGCCAATCAGCGTTCGAGAATTTACATAAGCGTGTTAAAATTGTATTTATACGCCAGATACCGATGAATGCTTGTCCGGACTCCATTCTTGTCATGCAAATGCACAATGTACTAATACTGTTGGATCTTACACTTGCCGCTGTAACAGTGGATACGAAGGGGATGGATTAACATGCAGAGGTAATTAAAAAAGCATTCTATCGAGGCTTACCAATATACAGTTTTATACTAAAGCGATGTAAAATGGCTTGTTATGTTTCCGATTTTGAATTATTGTCTCAAATATTCCATTTTCCAATTCAAAGTGAATTGACAGTAGATCATAATTTTATGCAAAGACCTTACAAGAAGCAAAAAGCACGAGAATGATGTTGTATTTTGTGATCATAATGAGGGTCTGGGAACATTTGTAACAGCGCGCGCACTGTTTTTACTGCGCGCGCAAAAACAGTTTGATTTCAGTTTAAATGCGTTTTGATAGATTGTAAATGCGTTTTGGTTTTTGTTACGTCTTTGTGTTCCCTGAGGATGACCGCTTAAGTCGAAAACTTGGAATAAATTGCTAGAATTATTTATGGTTGATTCACCAAAAATATAAAAATTTTTGAATTATGCTTTCACTGGCTCTCGCGCGCGAGTTGGTTCAGTTTCCAAATATGGAACTCATTAATCCAAATATGGTCAACTAACGAGCGCGGATAAAAATACAACAATTCGTATGTGGCTTTCTCGATATGAAGTGCGATTACAATATCCCGAATATATAATTGGATGTGCACTGAACATTTTTTTTCTTTGCATATCATATCGTAAAAGCTAAATTTAGTTATCTTAATATAACTAATGATCAACCCAATTTAGTCTTAATGTATCATCCCACAAGTTTGCATTCCGAGCACTCGGCATCATCCATCGATTACAGTGTATTAGTATGAGGTGTCATATGGCAAAGTATTCATATCACCAATACTCATTTCATCTCAAATCTCATATTAATATTTTACTGATGTTACTTCCAGCTTATCCAAGGTCTTGTAAGGATCAAAAGAGCAATTTCCCCGCATCATCATCAGGTTCTTACACCATTGATCCAGATGGTCAAAATGGAGAGTCACCATACACAGTTTATTGTGACATGACTGACAAAGGTGGGGTTGGGGTAACGGTCATCGGTCACAATAGGGAAAGCACGACCAGTGCAAACCACTGCAGTCCCTGCAGAATAAATGTTGTCTATAATAATGGAGTGTCAATTTCCCAACTGGCGACACTAACTGCAATATCATCAAATTGTGAACAATATATCGAATATCAGTGCTGGGGTGATGTAGCTTTTGTTGAAGAAACCTACGCTTGGTGGGTGTCACGTGACGGTGTAAGTCAGTACTACTGGGGAGGAGCGACACCAGGTAGCTACAAATGTGCCTGTGGTATGACAAATTCGTGTTATGATGGCAGAGGATGTAACTGTAATCAAAATGACAATAATTTTTGGCGTACTGACAGTGGTCTCCTTACTGATAAATCCACCCTACCGGTAACAGAGATTAGGGTTTCAGATACTGACCACGACGATGAAAATGCGAATTATCGACTTGGTAAATTTAAGTGCTACTGACAGACATAATTAAAATACAAAGTACACTTGATCGAAGGCAAAAACCAAACAATATAATCAAAAAATATTATTTAGTGGTTTCTTCTGCATGCTATTTGAAGTGTTGTAATAGACTTCACACTAATAAACGAACTCAAACGGAGATTTTCAGAGTTTTTTGGTAGATTATATTTATTGGCAGCTTGATTCACTTAGTTATGAGCTATATTTGTGTTGAACTGTTCAAAACTCAAACCGGCGTACTTGAGTTATCTTGAAATCAGCAACAAGCCTCGAGTGACAATTCAAGTAAACAGTGGGGAGGGTGTGTTGGTCACCTTGTCGGTTCGCTTTAGAAAATCAAAATTTTACAAGTAATCTCCTTCACGGTTACCTGCGCCATCTTGAAAGGTAGTCGTGCCTTTACATCAACGCGAGACAACCGTTGAGCGTGTAATGATAGATACCTGGGCATAATTGTCTCAACGGTCGTCTCGCTTCGATGCCAAGGCACGGCTACCTTTCAAGATGGCGCAGGGAACCGTGAAGAAGACTATTGAGACATATCTTCGACATTCAATTCAAATAGTTCGCATTTTTTATCAAGTACAATACTAAACACTTCAATTTATCTGCGGATGGTCAAAAAGACGGTTTTTACCCTTTACCGGCAGGTCATGTTTTTGATGACAATGTAAAAAGTATGTTTTGAGGAAGTATGAATATAACTATGAAAGGGCGCTACTACTGTTTTGTTTGCTAAGTCGTCGTGACGAACCAGCTAACATGAAGTTATTTCGGGTTTCTTTATTGTTTTTATCTGCCACATTCTCTGTAGAAAGTAATAAACTGTTTAGTGGTTTTATAATTACCGAGGAAACAATTATTTTAAGGTCTTTGAAAGTGAACTCTTTGTATGAAAAATATTTGTAATTTTGAATCCCGTTTTTCAGTCCTATTTCTCAGGTGTTGGAAAGGAAATACTTCGCTTTGGATAGACAAAACCTGACAATAACTGTAACTGGAATCCAATCCCGGGAATCCGATCTGTGTGTATTCTGTTGCTATGTTGTTGTTGGTAATGTATTTGTTGATGATGATGATGATGATGATGTAGCTGCTGTGTTTTTCTTTTTCTTCGTTTTTGTTTGCTTTGCCAGTGATAAATCACATTAACACTGTAGATTAAATGTGTAACGCCTTTATTTTGTTATAATCTTCATATCCACATCATTCATATTGTACAATGCTTAATCATAATTTAAACCTTTGCTTACTTTCTTCTGTTGCAAGGTACTGAGACAGTCATTACTCGACAGCTCATAACGAGGCTGAAAATATCTGAAATAATAACGAAAAATAATTAACAAAACGTTGTTCAAGAAAAAGAACTCAGGAATTTAGGAATTTAGGAATGTATTTGAAAAAAAGCTGAATCTCAAGACAAAGTTTTTATRATGAGGTGTGTAAATATAATATGATTATGTAGACCATGCAGCACTAGGAAATACAGTAAAAACCCGCGTATAAGAACACCTATTTTGGCGGTTCAGGCTGATTTGTTTCTTATATAAAGGGTTAGAATCTGCAAAATCAGCCTGTAAGTGTTCTTCAGTGTTCTTAAAAAAAGTTTCTAAAAATAAGGAAGATACTAGGCTACCAATAGATGAAATCAAAATATAACAGTACATATTTTTTTTGTTTTTGTTTTTTGTTTTTGTTTAATATTGTTACACATAATTGGGGTGGAACTATAATTTATGTTTGCAATGAAAAGTAGTGTTGATCTTTGATATAAGAACAACTGTAATTTTTCAGGCTGAATGTGTTCTTACATTACTGGTACTATATATCCTAAAATCAGGCCTGGGTGTTCTTAATCCACTTGTTCTTAWACGCGGGTTTTTACTGTAGTTACATAACCAGAAGTAGTGAAAAGATAGTAAAATGTACTGAGAAGTTTAAATCTGGACGAAAATACCCTTGGAGGAGTCTTTTTGTCAAAGCACATGTTTTGTACGGAGGATTTCACGAACCTTGTCCACATCCGAGCTTTGTTTCAACAGGGCTTTTTTCTCAGCAGTTAAAAAGGCTGTTTACTTCCCTTGCATCATTGCTAGTCATGGATCCCCTCAGTTGGCCTCCTAGTTTAATCCAAGGTCGCCCACGAGCTACTATGGTTGGTTTTTGGGATTTGGAAAATAGATAGCGATCGTAGTGCATGATGGATGAGGTGTCGTAGGGAAGGCCTAACTTGTCCAATTGTCCATGACCGTACTTGCGAAAGTTCTTTTCCTTGCCTGTAAAGATCACATCAAACACAATGGTC